ACACTGGAATCCCCATGGGGAAGAATGGAGGACAGTTTATAGCAGGGGCCCCAGGGCCAGGAAACACAGGTTTTGAGGAGCAGCACAGCACATCCAGGGGAAACTGAGTCACAGCAGCCACCTCTCCAATCCCCACCTAAGCACACACCAAAGTCCCACCATGCTGCTCCGGTCCCTAACACATTCCATCGCCCTGGCACCCGCCCTCGGCCAGATCCTTTCGTGCTTCAGGCTGTGCCTCCCACAGGAAGTCTCCAGCCTTCCAGGGAGGGGCAACGTGCCCCCCACTAGGCACCTGTCATGGTCCAGGGTGGTTGCTTATTAACCTGTCTCCCCGACTAGACTGTGCATTCTGTGACGTTGTACTGAGAACCTGTGCACAGCTATAGCCCTACGTCAGGCCCAGAGTGAACTCTCAGTCAATATTTATGGAGTGACAGAAGATGATATTCTCCAAGAAAGGGACCAAAATAAACAGGATTTCAGGGAGTGGAGTGAAGGCCATCCAAGTATGCGTGTCCCCTAAGCAGGATAAAGTTGGACTCCATACCACCTGAGCTTGGCCTCCTGGAAGACGAGAAGGCACGGAGCCGGAGGCTGTCCTACCAACATATTCATTAAGGAAAAACAAATAGGGATAAGAGAGAGCATTTGGAAAGAGGGCAGAGGGTAGGCTTAAGCAGCGCACCACGCTGCCTGAGCCTTCCACGGAACCCATAGAATTCCAACCCTCCAACCTCAGCTTGCAGACTGCGGGTCCTGCTGCACAGGCTTGGGCTCCACAGGCTAGGAAAAAAAAGTAGCCAGAGTGAAGAAGGGGGAACAGGGGAAGAGAACATTTCTCTCATTTTAGAAGCAGGCCGTTTCCGCAACTAAGAGTGAAAGCTCTGGGTTCTCTTTCAATTTTGCTGTCAAAGTTAGGTCCATTTCTTTACTTTGCTGGGTCTGTTTTCTTACCTGCAGCTGAAGGTGTGGTCTATTTCTAAGTTCCATTGCCTAGTGATGCTGGGCAGTGGTAAGTCAGCTGCCTATCCTCTGGCACCTCTGTAATGCTGCAGCCGGCCCGCCCCTCAAGGGTTGGTTTGCTGGTGCGAAGCCAAAGCTGGGAACGTGGTTTCCAAACCTGTCTCAGCTCCTCTGGTACCTGGCACCTCGTTGTAAGGGGAATAATACCCCTCTAGTTGTGGAGGACCAAGGCCAGGGACCCTGCAGGAGCCCACCAGAGAGCAGGTCCCTCCCACCTCTGAAATCCCATGAGAGCTGCAGAACCAACTACAGAGGTTTCGCTAGATATTAAATAGGGGAGAGTCAATAGAGACAGTGCCTGCTGAAGAGGGAACAGAGACCCTGACAAGTCTGAGCCTTGCTCAAGACGGCAGCCAAGGAGCACCAAAGGCCTGACCTGCACGCTCCCCAGCACAGCATGCACTCAAAGGGATAGCCATGGGACAGAGGAGGCCAAGGTCAAGTCTATGTGTAGTGGCCCAGCCTAGGCTGCAGCAACGTTGGACAGTGCCTCCCTCTGTCCAGAGGCCGCTGGCTGTGAAGTCATGACTGTTATTTTATTTTATTTTTTATTTCTTATTGGGTAACTGTGTTTTTTCAGGACCCATCAGCTCCAAGTCAAGTCGTTGTCCTTCAATCTAGTTGCAGGGGGCGCAGCTCACTGGCCCATGTGGGAATCGAACCAGCAACCTTGTTGTTAAGGGCACACGCTCTAACCAACTGAGCCGCCCTGCCACCCCTCTTACTATGTCCCTTAACTTCAACCCAGAGAGCAGGGAGCTGCTTCCGCAGAAGCCTTGAGATGGTCCTTGTCTGCTAAAGGTTTGACTCAGACACCTCCTGACAGTAGACCTCCCAAAAGAAATGGCTCACCAGATCCCTTAGCAGCCCTGGCTTCATTAGCCTTTCCAAGGTCACACGCCTTTCCCCCCACCCACCAAAGCCCCGGAAGGTGGACACTGCCTGATGTGCAGCCATGGCGACTCTGACTTACAGTTGCACACGTCCTCTCCCTCACCCTGCTTTACCCCGAGCCTTTGCTGAAGGTACCATCTTGAAGGCAGTGTAACACTGGAACTCAGGATTAACAAGTTCCTCCTCTCCCCTGCCCCATCCCCGCCTCACCAGGGGTCAAATCCCCAGTCATACTTACGGTTTGCAAACCAATTCAGCACAAGGAAGCTAGATGTGATGTGAGGCAGGGGACAGGATCAGCCTTCGCCATCACCCTGCCGGAGCGTACCTGTGACCTTGTCCACCTCTCACACCTGTGTCCCCAGCAGCAAGCACAAGCCCGGCACATGCGTACTCAGCATGTCTGTGGATGAACTCCTCAGGGTCTCTGTTCGTAGGATCCACAGCCTTGGGGCACAGGGGGTGGCTGCCCTAACACAGGAACTGTGTACAGGTTGCCATGGAAACATCCCTACAGAAGAATCACTCCAGCCCTCGAGAGTCAGGAGAGGGATCTCAGGGCAGTCATTTCTGTAAATAGATGACGGCATCCATCTGCTTGCACAGAATTCCTGCTCTCCGGTAACTGCTGAGGCCTGGGGCCATCAAACCTGCCCCTCAGGATGAAAGCCCTCTACAGAGGTGACTGGGAATGCCAGCCTGACTGCTATGTGCACTGATGCCCTTTTTCAACCTTCCCAACTTGGTACAGGAAACACCTTGCCACCCACCCATTGCGTTTCCAAAGCTAAACCCCCCGGCTGCTGGGATGAGGCAGGTCACCGGATGAAGGCAGAGAGGGCTGTGTACAAGGGCCTGGATCCCCGGGGCAGCTGGAGGTTGAAAGCCCTTGGGGTATGTTTGAGGTTAGCAGAGGTGACCTTGAAAACAGCAGGGAACTGTGATGTGCAGACACTTGGGGCTCTGCCCAGGAGACAAGAGCCCCACTCCAGTCCGTTCAAATCGGTGACCTGATGGGTGTGCTCTTCCCCTAACCCTCCAGGGGCAAAACTGAGGAAACTCGGTTGCCAAGAGCCGCTGAGGAAAGGAGTCATGCATGGACTTGTGCTTTGTCCAGTGAGCTGGGACAGCGAAGGAAGATCAGAGAGAAGGGAAGGCAGGCGGTCTGTGATTGGCGGAGACGGACCGGCAGCAGCAGCCGGGGACGCCCGTCTGGTGTGGTATGAACTTCAGACAGGCACTTCCGCTGGCCCTTACTTAGTATCGTTAACTATCTGAGGAAAGCGTGTGAAGGACAGGCCTACCCGAGGGGCCTACCCGAGGGGCGGCAGGCAGCCAAGCCGGCTGCCTGACAATGCCCTCCATTTCTGCACCCTTAACAGAGGAGAGGATTTGAGGCTTATGATTTTACCTACCGCAATCCCCACGAAAAAAAGGAGGTCGAACTGGTCCTAGGGGCTCACCCCTGGCTGCCTGTACAAATTGCCTGGGAAGCATTTATAAAATTGCAGGGACTTGAACTTCACCCCAGACCCATTAATTCATCTGAGCAATTTGTTGTTTTTAAAGCTCTCCAGGTAATTCTGTGCAGTGAAGGTTAAGAAAACCTCTGTCTTAAACTAACCCAAGCCCTAGGAATTCCAAGTTGACTAGACCAGGTTTCTCTCACGTGGACACAGTCCTGCTCTAACAGCAGGTTCAGGCTGAGTGTCCCCTCTCAGTGTGGCCCAGAAGACAAGGCACACTGCCGTCCCCACAGGGCACTGAACAAGTTCTTCAAATACTTCGTTTACTATTGTTTTCCCAGGGTTCACCTATAGTTTTTCCCAGGGACCAGGAGCTGGCTGCTTTGAGCCAGAAGTCAGGCTTGTTGGGAAGGATAGCTGTGACCACAGTATTGACAGCCTCCTTCCAGGCCTGGGACCCACCATTCAGCGGCCCTACTCAGCAGGGAGAGGGCTCATGGACCATCACACAAGGAGACAGTTGTGGTCACTGAAAGAAAATAAAGTGCTTTGTACGCTTCCTCTTTTCTATTTCTTGTGAATCCCTTCCTTACAAACAGCTGTCTCATTGTTTCCACGAGGTTGGGCAGAGGCTAGCTAAGAAATCCTTTTCAGCAAAAAGGCCAGTCTAGCTGATAAGTTCCGGTCAGTATTATCAGTAGCCATCAAGTTACATTTCTGAGAACTGGGGGAAAGAAAAGACTTTGTTATATGATTCAGGAAGACTCTTTTTTTTATATAGATTCGAGATGAAACCTAAGACTGCCTTTTCTATAACAACCCTCCTCCCCGCTGCCCACAGCCAAAACTCCCCACAGACGGGTTCTTACAAGGAATGAAGACACAGCTCTTAGGAAATTGACACCAATGGCAAAACATGAACGTATTCCCAAAGTCTCCAAGCACATGGGTGTAAAAGCACTGGGGCCGAATTACTGGTTAGAATGGGCAGGCTATTTAGACATCAGCCAATCTCAGGATGATGTAGGAACCCCTTTAACATTTCTAAACAGAAGTCTGCAAACGTCTGTAAAGAACCAGATAACTATCTGAGGACTGTGGGCCGTGCGCCTCTGTCACAACCACTAAACCTTGTCGCTGCAGTTCAGAAGCAGCCACAGACGGTATGTAAGCCGGGCTGTCTGGGTTTGACTGTATTCCAGTACAATTTTTTTTACCAAAAGCAGCATGCTGGATGTGGTGGTTTGCTGCCCCGTCCTCCAGGAACACAGCTTCCATAGGCTGAACTGAGTGACCATTTAACGACTGACGAAGAAAGAAGAAAGCATGAGGTGCGGCCAGATGGCTCAATTGGTTAGAGCACGTGCTCTTAACAACGTTGCCGGTTCGACTCCCACATGGGATGGTGGGCTGTGCCCCCCGCAACTAGATTAAAAGCGGCGACTGGACTTGGAGCTGAGCTGTGCCCTCCACAACTAAGATTGAAGGACAACAACTTAACTTGGAGCTGATGGCTCCTGAAAAAAACACATTGTTCTCAAAAAAAAAAAAAAATTTTTTTCGCCAATAAAGTTTAAAAAAAAAATTTTTTTTTAAAAAGAAGAAACAATGACATGGTAAAAGACTGATAAGGATTTAATGACAAATATTTCATAGTGGTTGCTGAACACTAGGATGCTGTCCAGGGAACCATTATTAAATAAAACAGCCTGAAAAGAAGGCAATTCTCACACACACAAGCACACATTCACACGAAACCTGTTAATCTCAGGATCATTAAATTATTCACGATTTTAACAAACAGCTGTCAAAGAACATTACAGTGAAGGAGAATGGGCACAGACGCCAGAAACGCAGTTCCGATTGTCTATGAAACACAGGTTCTTCATTTGTACTTTTTCACATATGGACAGCCTCTTGATCTTGAAGAGACCACATGGCTCAAGGGGTTAGCTTGTCATCTCCTTCCGACTCGGAGCTCAAGATTTAAGCCATTTAACCTCTTTAATCTGCCCCAGGTTTCACTCAGTGAAGGGCAGCCTGCACTTGACCGAACTCCCAGGAAACAAATGATACACTTGCCTCCACTATCATTGAGCTGGTGGAAGGAGTCTTCAGAGTAACATTTTTAAAAGTGAACCACAGTTAACAGGGTTTGCTTTAGAAATACTATTATTCTAAAACTAAATACAAGAAACCATCTCCTGAATGCATTTAACCTCCCTTAATGCAGATATGTTCCCTGAAGAATTGTAAGAAAAAATGGAATCACATTTTAGATGTACCACGAGAATGGGTGTTGATGGTTGGACTGTCTCCTTCTGCTAATGGGTTTGCTCGCCGAAGGGCTACTGATGTAGTAGTTGACTCTCTCATCCACAGTAACAGAAAGAATGAGAGGCCAATGAAATCCAAAGATTTCCACTGCCACGAAATTATTTTACATTAGCTTCAACTGAACTCTTTCTCCAAAGCTGCTAATACATAACAACGTATTGGATGCAGACGACACTGTGCAACAGTATAATATAATAATGGCAGCAAAAGGCCAAAATAACCCATAAAGTGTGGATAGTCAACTCATGAGTAATCAAAAAAGTTCAATGAGATTTCATAGGCACAGACTTGAAAGAACTTAAAAACAGCTGGAAGAGGTAGATGTGCATGAAAAAAAGGAATAAGGTTACATACACATTGGCTACATCATTTTCAGGTGAGTCTTATACATTTCGTATTCAGACTACAAGATTCAGAATAAATAAAGGTCACTCGCTTTGCTAGTACTACTCTCAACTGAAAGCAAATAAAAAAGAATGTGTCTTCAAAAACTATTATTTCAAAAACCTATTTGAATTTGTGAATCGCAGTAAACTGATTAAGAGGGCAAGATCAAGAAGCATGATACAAACCCAGAATTCTCAGGATTTTCTTAAAAAGTGTTTTTATAATGACAAAAACATGCTTTTCTATAGTCCCCAAAGAGGCTCTTTGCTAGAAGAGAACTGATCAAGTATAAATTACTGGCATCCACAGATCTGCTAAACTGTAAAAACAAGCTTGTAGTTGGGTTTTTTCTTTTTCCTTCAAGTGTGTCCAACAGTTTGTGAAGATGCTTCCAGGAAAAGTACAGGGTTAACACTCGCTCATGGGGAAAACAGTACTGCTTTCCATAACTCTAACTTCTAAAGGCTAACCTAGGGGAGGGATTTTCAGCACAGGTAACTGAAATCTATACAAGAGTCATCTAACTATAGCCCCCTACGAGAAATGGAACACACCTAGGACACCCTAATTAGGTGACAAAGACCAGCTTTGTCAACAAGGACATCTTTGGACCTTCTAGACTAGCCTTAAGTTTTCCATCAAGCATACGCATTTTCAGTGTTCTTAGTTTATTATATAAATCACAACAGGTAAGCCTTCCTAGCAGCTGAGCTGGAGAGCACAAAAGATCGGACCACACCTATCCACGCTGTCATCAGCCTCTCTTAAAACAGCCTGCTGCACTCTCGTCCCCAGGCCTTCCCTAAGACATGGGTCATAATACTGATTTACCTCACAGAGGTGTGAGGAATAACTAACAATCATTAAAAAGTATAAAGCACTTTACAAACATCAAAGTGCTAGTTTGGCATTTATAGAACCACCAGAAAACATCCATGGCTTGTGCTTTTGGCAACTTCGCATTCTCACTTCTCCCTGCTTGTGCCCTCCTGTGTAAAGCCTGGAGCTTCCTACTGTGCCTCCCTGTGCAGGAAAAAGCAATGTCTGGTCAGATCAGAGCCCACATCGATATGGGTGGAGATGGGGGTGTGGTGATCTCCTCCATCGCTACCAAGGAGGAGGGGTATACAGATACAAAGCGAAGGCTTTGCACCCCAACATGGGACCTTTCACTTTCCTGCGTTACTCACATAAGGCCAGTAAAATTCTGAGCTAGTTGACTTTTGCAGCAGGTTGCTGGGGCAACTGCTGATGATGGTCCGAGGTTCACTTGAAACAAGCATCCAGCTGACCTGGGAAAGGGAAAGTCACACATAACTAGGATTGTTCCATTTTCCTTCACATTAAAAGGTCCCAAGTGAGACCTGAAAGAAAACACGGAGCCTGGCACACCCCTGACACTGAGGGCCAGAGTCTGCTCATTCACACAGACCACCTCGACCCAGCAGGAACCAGGCACAGGCCCAGGTTTCCCCAGATCTGAAAACCAGTTATGAATTTGTAAACCGCAGAGGTTTTCATCCTTGAAATAAGGGTGTGTAGCTTTTCTGCTCACTTTCCCCTGGATGCCTTAAAATAGCAGCTAACTGTGGCTCAGAGAAAGGAAGGGAAGTGCCTACAATATATCCTCTCCTACAGAACGGACAACGTTCCTCTACTTTTCCAAGGAATATAGCTGACATGAGGGGACAGGGCAAACACTGGCTTTACCACCTGGTGGGACCAATAGTTATTCACACCCGCCCTTTATTTTACCCCATAACCCTCACTCCAGCCACACTCTCTCCTGATTCCCACAGGCCATCACAGCCCAACCTACTCTATTACCTGCCATCCTGTACCCCCCGTCCCCCAACTTCCCTTCCTCAAGATCCTCAAAGTGCCTGCTCCTACAGCCTGTATCTGAGGAAGTCCCCACGCTCAAACACATCTCCCAAACATTTCTTTGTTGGGGAGGAGGCAGGCAACATATATAGCACCCCAGAAGAACAACTCTTACTCAGCCCTCCCCTTCAGGGCCCCCTAACAACAAGAGGCTCCCCAGTCACTCTTAGATTGTCCGTCCCGCCCCTTCCCATTTCTTTCTATAGGGTCTGCCCCCAGGACATTACTCCCCACATGCTGGGGGGACAGGAGTGGGGGAGCAGCCTCCCTAGGGCCCAGCCCTAGCACAGGTGCAGCTTCTGGTGCTGTGCCAGGTGCGTTTTGTAGCGAAAGCCCTTGCCGCAGCCCGCGCACTTATGCGGCTTGTTGCCGGTGTGGATGCGGCGGTGCCGGATCAAGTGCGAGCTCTGGATGAAGCTCTTGCCGCACTCGATGCACGTGTAGGGCTTCTCGCCCGTGTGCGTGCGCTGGTGCTGCGTGAGCGTGGAGAAGTCGCTGAAGCGCTTCTCGCACTGGCCGCAGCGGAAGGGCTTCTCGCCCGTGTGCACGCGCAGGTGGTTGACCAGGTGCGAGTTGCGGCCGAAGCCCTTGCCGCACTCGCGGCACACGTAGGGCCGCTCGCCCGAGTGCGTGCGCTTGTGCGTGAAGAGGTGCGAGCTGACGCTGAAGGTCTCGCCGCACTCGGAGCACATGTAGGGCTTCTCGCCCGTGTGCACGCGCTGGTGCTTCACCAGGTCTGAGCGCCAGCTGAAGCGCTTGCCACACTCGCCGCAGCCGTGCGGCTTCTCGCCCGTGTGGATGCGCTGGTGGTTGGCGAGGTGTGAGCGGCGCACGAAGCCCTTGCCGCACTCGCCGCAGGCGAAGGGCCGCAGCGCCGCCGGCCCCGCGCCGCTGGCGGCCGCGTGCGCGCGCCGGTGGCTCAGCAGGTGCGAGCTGAGGCTGAAGGCCTCGCCGCACTCGGGGCACGGGTAGGGCTTCTCGCCCGTGTGCAGCCGCCGGTGCTTGAGCAGGTCGGCGCGCCAGCTGAAGCTCTTGCCGCAGTCGGTGCACAGGTTGGGCCGCTCGCCCGTGTGCAGGCGCAGGTGGTTGGTCAGGTAGGTGTTGCGGCTGAAGCCCTTGCCGCACTCGCCGCAGTGGAAGGGCTTCTCGCGCGGGGGCCGGGCCAGCGCAGGCCCCGCCCCGAAGTCCCCGGCCACGCCCACCACCGCGCCGCACTGGCCGAAGGGCTCCAGGCCGGCCGCCGCGGCCGCCTCCGCCAGGCGGTGGATGCGCTGGTGCTGCAGGAAGGCGGCGCCTGGGCTGAAGCTCTCCCCGCAGTCCGGGCAGATGGTGGGCGCGTCCATGATGCTGGCCATCAGGTTGTCCAACTCTCCGAGGTCCATGGCCATGGGGTGGTGGAGGCGGCGGAAGCGGCGGTGGGCCGGCTTGTCCCCCCGGTGCCGACTGCCCAGGGAGAGGTGCCGCCTCCAGGGAAGCGCGGGCGGGGGAGGCTGCTCTTCCTCCGCGAGCCGGTTCTCTCCGGCGCTCTCCTCCTCCTCCTCCTCTTCTCCGGGGCTCCGGGATATGCTGTCGGACTCGGACAGTCCTGGGAACATGGCCACCTCAGCTACAGCAGACTGGTCATCCTCATCTTCACGGAAAGCCATCCCTTCTTCGTCACTCAGCAGCCCCTCTGCAACAGAAAAGGTGGCAATGGGGTGGACTATACCTGGCGCGCAAAAGGTAAACCCAGAGGCGGCCAGCTTCAAGCAGTGTGTGGGCCATGAAGTAAGTACGTAATCCTCTCTCGGGAGGGCTCTCAACATCACTCTCCAAAGTCCCCAGATTCCAGCCGCCTTCTTACCTGGTACCTCCTGGGGAAAGCCTAAATTAGAAGGCGTTCCAAAACCTGGGAAAAGCTCACTCACCTGTCCCCTTGGCTCTCCAGTTCTTGGCAGCGGTCTCTGGGCCTGGGCCCCACCCACTGCCCCAAGGCTCCACTCACAGAGCCATCTGAGGGCCTGACAGTCTGCTTGACATGGTCAACTTTGGGCCAGGTGGGGCTCTGTGGGATCTCAGAAGAGGTTTGCTCACTCTAAGCCTCGGGGCTGGCCCAGTGCCGCGACGGTTAAGAGCTGGCTTGGGACACCAGAGGGCTCTGGTTCCGATCCCACATATGAGGGCCAGTGACACTGCCCTCCACAGCTAAGATGCTGAACAACAGCTCAACCTGGAGCTGGGCTGCTGTGAGTCGCCAGTGACAGCATAGGCTGCAGCCCCTGTGGCAGTGGGTTGCCAGGGGCTACTGTATGTAGCCAGCAGCCAGCGTGAGCGGCCAGCAGCCACAGTGAGCTGGCCGTCCAGAAGCCAGCGACTGATCTGCCTCGCCCGGGAAGAACGCAATGATGGTGCCAACTTGGGCCAGTGAAGCAACGTCCTCCACAACTAGACTGAAGAACAAAAAAAAAAGGACAGCAACTTGTCTGTTCCCCTTCCCCCAATTCCCCAGCACTGTTCCCATCCCCCAATTCCCCAATTAAAAAAAAAAAAAAAAAGAGCTCCCTATGCCTTTCAAGGCCCTAGCCTCAAAAGACAAGACCACACTCTACCAGCCACAAGGAAAGACCACCTGGCTCAACCAGCCCCTAAGGGGTTTACTACCTAAGGCGGATGGGGGGATGCACAGGGAAAAGGGGAAGTCAGCAAAAGGCCCAGAGCTGGTGAGCCTGGCGTAGAGGCTGACCCAGCCCTCAGACCTGTCTGTCTCTGGCTGCTTATGCCCAAGCAGAGGGCCCTCCAGGAAATTACTAGATAGGAAAGCATGTGCTTGTGTGTACCGCAGGAGAGGGCAGCAGGGAGCCGGGCCTCGTCACGGGAAGGAATGCAACTTCACAATCCTGGCCAGAAGGGATTTCAGCTCATTTTTGTCCCCAAGGCATGCACGGAGCAGAATAAAGGAACAAACGCCCGAAGACAGAACCGAAGTCGGATGGAGGCCCAGCATGTATTTTTTTCCAAGTCAGGAATAGCAAGGGATAGACACAAACCTGGCCAGGTCAGTTACCAGAGCTTACTATTTATCTGCAAACAAGATGATGACTGTAACTGTAAGCATCTGAATACAGTACTTTGTAAAGAGCTTAATAAGTCTTTATATGCAGCAGCTCATCTACCGCTCCCAACCAGCCAATGAGGTAGGTTCTGACACTACCTATATTCCCTCTTGGGCTGTTACAAGTGCTCATCTATGGCAGTATTCTGTATACTGTTAAGTGCCGTGCCAGTGCGTACCCTCTTCACCCATTTTACCAGCACAGCCCACCTCAGGCTGAACTGAAGGATGTTCCCCAGGCTGAAGATGGTATAGGATCTGTTTAACAGTCTCCTCTAGAGAGTTCCCTCGCAAGAATACTGCCCGTGGTTATAGCTCTAGAGGCGCCAGACTTAAATGTGAGGGGAGCACCTTCCCTGGAAACTCCAGCTTTGTCCTCACCTGTGCAGATGTCAGACACCAGTTCCCGCTCCTCTGAGTCCCCTCTTGTAGCTTCGTCCTGTGGGTCGGAGCTCATCTGCTCTGGCTGGCCACCTCTCTTGTCTGTGTCCTGTGAGTTGGAGCCCATTCCTCTCTCTTCCGGGTCCCCTTCCTTGTCTTCAGAGTTCTCAAAATCGGAGCCCATCCCTTTGTCTTCTGAGTCTGGGGTTTCACACACACCCTGCTGGTCTTCTTGTTCCATCTGGGAGGAACAGGCAAGGAAGGTAACCCAGGATCCCTGCTCCAGACAGAACACAGATAAAGGGCATGTCAGTCTGGCCTCATCCCCTCATCTTGTCTGGCGTTTGATATCCATGAAAGTCAGCGGCACAGTGCAGCAGAATGTACTGAGTTCCAAGCCCCAGATGGCCACTGTCTGCTGCACCTCACATTTTAAGGTAAACAGAACCCAGTGCAAAAGAGGCTGGTCTGGGTGGCAGAGGCACAGTGACAACTCATCCTGAAGCCACAAGCCAACTCTCACTGGACCACAATATGACCTCCCATCTGTGAAGAGGATGATTCTATCAACATGGTTTTAGAGTTTTAATGCTGGGGTAACAGTATTATTTCCATTTTATAGCTGAGAAAAGCTCCAATAAAAGACGCCACCAGCTTAACTCAGCAGTAAAGGGATAAAACCAATGGTGCTGCCTCCAAGTTCCACACATTCCTTATTCTCATGAAAAACTTGCCCTCCTCTACATATGTACAATTTGTATTTGTCAGTTATACCTCAGTAAAGCTGTGGGGAGGGGGAGGGCAGGGGGCTTTGCTTCCTCGAGCCCAAAGCCATCTTGTGAGGGCTTTAGCTAATGAGGAGTGGACATCTAAGGAGCCAGAGGAAAAATACATTCAAGATGCAAGAATAACTGAAGCATCCGTGTACCGACGACTTCTTATCTCAGACCAGGTCACCACCAGCAGCACCCACCTAGCTTTGTGGTGAAGATCTGGTGCTTTCTTGTGAGCAAGAGAGCCAAGATAATTCAAGCTTTAGGAGGTCTGTTGGGGGAGGGGGTGGAAAAGATGCAGGACCCTCTATGTTAGAGGCCATCCTTATAGACTTATTGCATAGTTTGCCTTTTTCTATATATATTTGAACTAGAGAGCCCTTAACAGAGCATGCCCCTGGCATAATTGGTAACCCCTCTACAGAGCAGGCCAACATGTGAACTGTAAGGAGAAAATGACCTCAGTTTCCTAAACCTTTTGTAGATGGCAGGTTTACATTTCCAATTTAAAGGGCCCCCTGCCAAGACTGCGCAGCTGAGCCAAAAATAATTGACTTCTGCCATCCATCACTCTGATAGCCTAGCTCAAGGCAGCAAAGCAGTTGATGGGTCAAGGATCTTGGGACTCAGACCTTGAAGGGTCCAGCTCTGTCTCTGCCTCGGCAGCCCCAAACAGGATTTACAAGAATTGGGCTGAGCAAGAATTGGCTGGGAGCATCTCCTGCCTCCATTTAGGGGACTTCCCCAGGCAGCCCTGGCTCTGCAGGGACCTCAAAGTGGAAAGCAGGATTACAGGCAGCAGCCATGCCAGCTGGGCCGGCCTCACTCCAGAGCCCAAGGGAAGTCAATTAACCTCTCAATGTATCAGCGTCCTCACCAGTGCAAAGTGGCTAATGCTACGTAACCTTTCTCACAGGGAGGGCGTCAGAAGGAAACGTTGAAAAATACTGTGGAAAGGAAGAGATACTCTCAGTATGACTGCACGTGTGACCTGTCTTGTTAATGTGAAATACACACATTATTTCTTTAAGTCCTGGTGCCATTCCAGCATGCCTCGAACACACACCGGCACCACCATAATTCTGGCAGACCTGTCGCCCTAAGTAGCATATCCTTTCTCAGAGATGCTCTATTCCCTAGATTAGAATGAAAAGTCAAGCCCTTCTCTTAAACGTCATAGGAAAATGGCTGTGCCTGCGACTGGTCAGTCAACAGTATCCTGCAATGCAGCTGAGTTCCTTCCGAACACATGCTGTTTAAAATGCCTGGTTCCAAACACTCAGCTTTAGGCTGTAGGAGAGAATCCCATTAAAACTAGAAACCTTTTAAGAGATCTGTCCCACAAGGGACTTTTAACCCCGAATCGCTTCTACCCATCATTCTTGCCTGCTGGAGCTCAGCCTCTATAGCCAAGTATATCTCTTGAGTCTGCGTGTATAACATACCCTGAAGTGGTGGAGGGTGGAGAGCTAAGAGTAGGATCCTCAAACATGTGACCTGTTGGTTTGCTGGTGGCTAAAAGCAATGGAGGAATGAGGAGAAACTTAAGGGGGACCTAATCAATGGTTTCTGCTAATCTGAAACCCACAAGAAGAATTTTACACGAGTAAAGTCATCAAATAGATGTGTCACCAGAAACTCATGGAACTAAAATGGCAGCGTATGGTGCCCAGAATGGCACAGAAGTGACTAGAGCTCTCCACCCTGAAAGGCAGGGTTTAGGGGTCTGCCCTGTGAAGCAGGGAAACATAGGGTTTCACCTCTAAAACCGTTTAAGAAGGACAGAGCACCTTCTTAGAAAGCACCTCAGACACAGGGAGAATGGGAAAAGAGGACTTCGTGATGTGTGATTTCTTGGGGGCCAAGAGTGATAGTAAACAAAGAACATGGTTTTTCTAGATTTAGGAGAGACGTTGGGGTTGGAGGGGGAGACAGAATCTAAGTTCCCCACTTAGGGTTGGCATATGAAAGTTCACAGTAATACTACACTCAGAATTCCGGAGGTCTGAGCTCCCAAAGGGAATATGTCCACATCTTCATTCACACTAGGGGAGGGAGGAATAGGTGTGCCCTGAAAAGAGTGGGAAGCTTCTGTGACCTAAAGAGACACCATTCATTGTACAACATCTACTCAAACGTGTTTAAAAACACGTTAAATGTTAGTGCAAAACTGGAAATGTGCGTGCCCCACAATAGGGACTCAGTTCCATTCACACTGTCACATCACCGGGTTCCAGGGAGTCATCAAGTAATGAAAAGGGCTACTCAGAGGTAAGGAAAGGCAGTCACAATATGTTACTGGATGAAAACTGGTTGGTTTAAAAACAATCTCATGGTGTTTATTATACATGCAAACTAGCATATATAGTTACACACATATACACAGGTTCAGAGAGGAATACCGGAAGATTATTTATTAAAATGTTAAACATCTTTTGGTCACCTCTAGGGGCTTTGCATCATTTAATCTTTTTTTAAAAATTTCACTGGGGAACAGCCATGGTCATTAGCTGCACATTGCTTTCATGCTACAATGGCACAGTTGACTCTTTTAGGGAGGGTGCAGCTCACAGTGGCCCATGCGGGGATCGAACCGACAACCTTGGTGGTATTAGCACCACGCTCTAAGAAGCTAAGCTAACCGGTCACCCCCACATCATTTAATCTTAACAACAAGCCAATGAAGCAGGGTATTATTTTCAACTTTAGAGACAAGGACATAGGCACAGAGGTTGCATGGCTGGCTCAAGGTCATACAAACCTTAAGTGGCAGAGCAGGGATTCGAACCCCTGCAGTCTAGCTCCAGAGCCTACATTCTTAACCAGAAGCTGGTGGGTTGTTCGGAGGACTGTTCTTTTTTGTGACCATCTGTACGTTTTACAATCAAGATGTATTTTTATCAGCAACAAAGCCAACTTTGTTTCTAATGTGACAAAATACATTCAAGGAAAACCTAGGATACGTTAGAAGCAACATAAAGGAAGACAAGGACGAGCTGCGATTACCTCAATCTAGAAGACTTAATTTTCAGAAACATTATCTAGACGCTGGGGTATAACTGAAGTGCCAATCAACAGATAGCTAAGCACATTTTGTCCCAGCTCCTTTCCCCTTCCTCCTCAAAATAAAATCCAGCAATGTGTTTTTCTTAAGCAAGGTCAGGGTTGGCTAAATGAATGGGTGGCAAAGCACTGGGACAGCTCTGCGGCCAGACCAACCGAGGTTCAGATCCTCTGCTCTGTCAGCTACGTGACCTTCTGCAAGTTACTTAAATCTTGCTGAACCTCAGATTCTGCACCCTTAAAAACAAGTATGCTGCCACCTACCATGTAAGATTAATAGTTGTGAAAGCAGCTGACACACAGTCGAGACACAATAAACAGGAGTTATAAACGATTATGAAACTTGGCCAATTTCTTTATTTAAACAGTTGTATACATATACACCGCTTCCTAAACTGAGGGTCACAGGTCTATTTGCCGGGAATGACCTTTGGCCAGTCCAACCAGCCGAGCTGTCTCTGGTCTGACTGCTAACAGGCTCTATTAATAAATAGCCCACCTTGTGGAGATAAGAACCAGGGAGGTGCTAGCTGCTTGGGGAGCTGGGGCAAAGGAAAAAAAGGACCAGTTCCACATTGGTGTGGAGATGCTGATAACCCATCCTCTATACAGAAAGTATAAGCCTAAAGCTGAAGGAGATGCACGATTCAATAAACCCTGACTTAGACCATCTGTAGGGGAGCTCTTCCCCCACCCCCCACAACCCCACCCCGCCCAGTAAGAAGGGACAGAAGTGTAAGGGGTAAAGGAATCAGAGAAGTAATGGTGGGGGGGGGGTCAGACAGACAAGATCAATTCTGCATCTAGCTCTAATCACTGAATTAGCCATGGGGGAGAGGCCTGGTTTGGGGCCAGCCCAGCCACTGGGCGGTGTGACTTTTGAGTATTTGCCCCCCCCCCTGGGCTCAATGAGGAGGTTGGGGATGACTATACCTGAGTCCTCTTCTTGCTTGTCATATGACAGGGAGGATCACTGTTCAGTTTCATTAGACATTTTCCCCTGGCAGCTTGCTTACTCAGCTAGCACCCCAAATTAACTCCCTAACACCCACCACCACCACAAACCCTTTCTCTTGGGCGTAGGTCATTCAGGTGGGAATCAGCCAACTCTGCCAGGGCTGCTCAAACCCTAGTTTTTAGAACTTGCAATATTTTCATGTCCCTGCTTCCGCCACCATACCTCACCCCCCCCCCAAAAAAAAAGAGTAATGCAATGTTTATTACCCTATAAAGTCACTAGGAGAATAAATGCTCAAGTGCCTTCCAGACAAACTCAACCCCATTTGGAAGGCTAATCAGATCAGTCTGGAGATATTGATTGCTAAGAGTGGAAGTAAATGTGATAGGTGTATGTTGGAAGGAGGGAAGGAGGGAGGGAATGGGACGTGAAGCTAGCTGTAGAGGCAGAATTGGAATTTAACCTGCGTTTATTGGCGCATTCTCCCGATGGCCCCCTAAGGGGCTACCTGTAAAACCTTTACAACAGCAAGTGTGTTCCCCAACCCCCCTCGGGCACTTTATGGATTCAATCTCACTTGCAGTGAAGGGGTTGGGGCAGACCAGCGCAGACCTCTCCCCTATCCTCCCAAAAGATAAACCCCTGGCTGGCTTTCTCCGGGGCATTTTGCACTGGACCCCATGCTGCCATGCCACCCTCTGGCCCGGGATGGCTGTGGGGAGTGAGGTGCTGTGAGCTGGTCTCCCACTGGCCGACCAGGCAGCCGACACTGCACTTGAGTAGATCACTCTCATTTGCCTCCAAGAATGCAGTGAGGGTCACCTACCCAGTTGCATGTAGGAAGAAAGCGGAGGCTCAGCAAATGGAGCTCCAGGTGACATTGCTCCCAGGTAGAGTCAGCACTGCAGCCGGCGTCTCTGGGCTCTGCGCCATCGTTATTTCCTATTCATTTCCCATTCCGCCGGCTCCTCCGGACGGACGTAAGCAGTAAGCGGCAGCGGTCTAGGGCATGTCGCCCGACCGGGACCAGAAGCGGCCCACCTGGCAGCCCCAGCCTGCAGGACGGCCAGCAGGGAGCGGGCAGCCAGAGCGCAAACCTCTCCGCACCCCTCCCCGGCGGCGGGGCGGGGGAGTCATGTGCCACGGCCACAGCCAGGTGGCCGCCAGCCAGGCCGGCAGGGCTGTCATGTCAGGGGAAGGAAGCGGCCAGGCGGCGGGCCAGGAGCGGCTCCCTCTCCGCCTCCTGGGGCCGCAGCTCCTTTCCTGTCCCCCAGTCCTTTGGCGGGGCCCCTGCCTTACCTCCCCGCCTCCCAGCCACAGGCCGAGGCTGCCTCCCTCACTTCCCACGCCCCCTGCGCACCAGGCTCTCCCAAGGGAGGGTTTCCATAACAGAGGCCGGGCCCAGCCACCCGACTGGGTAGAAGGCTGGAAAACAATTTAAGTCTGTGGTTCCAAAGGCTGAACTCATGACCATAACTGGGGGGGCTAACCAGGGATTCCAGGGGGTTAATCATTTGTCAGTCCTTCAGCACCAACTGGGTAAACAGTCAACTAGCCTCTCAGGAGATACAGCCATCAGAGTCCTGCCTCCTCAAGGATGAATGAGCCTGTCGTCACAAAGAGCCCAAAGAACAAAGAAAGCCACCTCACCCCATCTGCAGGGAGCAAGGAGAACGTGTCCCCATCCCAGGGGACAGCTGACTTCCCCTCGGCTGACTTTCCCAGTCCCACACCCAGACAGTCCAACCCAAAATGCCAGCCTCCCCAGTAGCTGCAGGAGAAGAACATTCATTTCAGACAGAGAAAGCCAAAAGATTACTGCAGCTAAGTACTGACCACTCTCCAGACAGAAGAAGCTGAAATAATATGGTTTCTTCCTTGTGATTACTGCTTTTTTTGTTTACCTGGAGAGGGGAGCCCAAGTTGAAAAAAGAAACCAAGGCAACTGAGAAATCAACTTACAACCCCCCTGGCCAGAGCTGGTCTGAGACTCCTTCCAATCTCTGTAGTCAAGAATAGCACAATGTCCTTGGGGTCAGGCATTTCCTGTCTATTAGCTGGACTGGGGCCCCTCACTTTGGCCAGAGGGCCTCAGCTTGGCCCAGCTGCCAAGCCTCCACCACCACCCCACCGCTGCACAAAATGAGAATGACTGCAATGCAGAGACAGATGCTAAGCGCCCTCAGTTAGCCCATCTCCCCTCAGGTGAGAAGGCACAAAAGACAAAGGTTTCCATGCAGACACTTACTCGTCCACATTTTACACTTAATTAATGAGATGTTCTACCTGATGCGCAGAGCATACTTCTGTCCATGATTTTTTTCTCCGATGTGCGTGGCATCATAGCACCAGCATTACCTGTATACATCCTCAGCCTCCTTTCTTCTCCAGCTCCTGGGCAGGTCTCAGAATCTTCAGATACCTCCTCAGCAGCTGGCTCAAATGTTCACCTTTGTATTTCATGGAATCATAGACTTGGCTATCCTTTATCTCAAACTCCTTCTGCAGACAGAAGCTGAAACTGAAGCGCAGAGAGAGAGAAAGAGACCAGGTCCGAGACTGAAAGGCCGTTCGCTAGAAGAGTTATGGCCAGAATCTCATGGTTCTTTCTGATGGTCTCTCCAATGATCTTTCCATCTTGTTAATATAAAACCACTTCAAAAACAGGCAGCCAAATAAATCTGGGGCACATACTTACTTGTCTTTTTTGTCCCCCGCACTATGTGTCAGGGTTCTCCAGAGAAACACAACCAATAGGATGTGTCTATAGAAAGAGAGTTGTCATAAGAAATTGTCTCATGCAGTTATGGACCCTAAGCAAGTCCGAAATCTGCAGGGTGAGCCTCAGGAGAGCTGACGCTGCAGTTCCGGTCTGAAGGCCGTCTGCTGGAATTCCTCCTAGCTCAGGGGAATCAAGTCTCTTTGTTGTATTCAGGCCTTCAACTGATTGGTTGAGGCCCACCCACATTAGGGAGGGCAATCTGCTTTACTCAAAGTCTAACATTTAAATATTAATCTTATCTAAAACCTGTCACCCAAACACCCAGAATAATGTATGGCCCAATATCTCTGTGCCTACAGGCCCAGCTAAGTTGACGCATAAAATAAACCATCACACACACTGTAGCTAAAAAAAAAAAAATAGTACAGCGTACGATAATCCCAACAGCTGTCAAAACTGGCCCGTTAAAAACATCTTCTTTTTCATAAAAACCATTACTATACACAGAGGGTTGACTGGGGTCTCAGGGTGTACGCATGGTAGAGGGCAAATGGAAGAATCAAGATTAATCTGAAAGATCTACACAGACACACGTGTGTGTACCGAACACATATGTATGTACAGCACACGCCTCCAGGACAGAAAGGGATGCCATTTAATAACTTATTTCCATGAAGGACAAAAGAGAAAACAGGCTTAGAACACACAGGGGGTGTACATGGGACACAGGACTTGTTAACGAGCAGCTTTGTTCTGGAATAGCTGATGCTGGCATCCCATGGTGAGGTTAGCAGACGGGACCAGGTGACCTCAGGAAGTCTTTTCCAACCCAGATAATTCTGCGATCATATTTCCATTGGAACGGACAGTCCCCAAGAGAATATTCAACACCACACATAGGGGCTGAGGAGTGCTGAGACCAAAAGGCTTGAGGCATAGGCGTACATTCAATCGCCCCAGTTTCCCCGCTGCAGATTCAACAGGAAAAACGGCTCCTCTAGTTCTCTGCCCAAAATAACCGTTTGGCATTGTTGATGAAGGATGGCTGGCGTGTTCCTGCCCAGTCCATGTCAGCAGTGGATAAGTGACACCTCGGCGTATAATCTGCCAAGGTGTCTTCAATCAAAGACAAAGCAGGATTAAAAATGGAGAGATGTCACTCGATGCTGCCCTTTTTCCACCCGCTTAATAATTGAACCGCGAAGCTAGATTTTCAGCATAAAGTGAAACATTGACAGACACCTAAAAACACCTTTTTAAAAATTAGATACTTGTGCTACTCTTATTTCCTTCAAGATAACATTATCAGCAAACCCCAGAAGCTAGTAAGAGACACATGATCCAGTTTCTTCGATGACAATGACAAAAATGGCAAGAAAAACAGAGGAAAAAAGAGAAGTCAAAAAACTTGAGATGTATCAACCAACCCCAGTGTATAGACCTTACTGAATCCCAATTCAAATAAACTACAAAAACAAATTATAAGGCAATTGGGGGATTGTGAATATTGACTCGCTATTTAGTAGTAAGGAATTATTCAGTTTTTTAAGGTGTTGGCATCGGGGTTAAGTTCACAAGGAGTTCTTATATCTTTAAGAGATACTTAATAAAATATTTATAGGTAAAATGGTATGTCTGGAATTTGCTTCATTTGAAATGGTGCCAGGAATTCCAGGACCAAGAGAAGTGGCCAGGGACGCTGACGGAACAAGACGGCTGTGTACTGAGCACTGTCGAAGCTGGGTGGTGGCATTATGTGGAGTCGTACTCCTCGATCCACTTTTGTATTTCCTAGAGAACTTAGTCCTAAACAGTTTTAAATGGAAAACATAACTCATGATTTTTTTTTTCCTGAAATTTAAGGTGGATTATATTCATTTCAATTCTGGACAGATCCTAATAAAATGTCAGTGACTTCCAAAGGACTAGCCTGCTTTTATCAAATATGTCAAATCGGGAGTGATTATTACAATGCTTAATATTGAATAGAGCCCATGGGAATTTAGGGAGAGAGCCAGTGGGGTAAAGAGACTAAAGCAACTTAAGATTGATGCTCTCGAATTTTGTTTTTTTTTTAATATTTATGAGATAGAGGACTATCTGTTATATCCAAAATAGAATCAGGATCCTGTTTCCACTTTCATCTACTTTTATATTTCCAAAGCACTCAAAGGATGCACCTAGTTTATTTCCACCACTAGTGCTTGTTTATTTCTACCACTAATTCAGCAACTCTACACTCAAGCCCAAGGGGAAATAAACCTGGCTGAGGGTCCTGGTCATGACGACTTTGCAAGAGGAAGACTTTATCCCCAGGAAAGTCAAATTGTCAAATGATGCGAGTGTCCAGCAGATTGGTCAACAGAACGATCTTCTAGGGAGATGAAAAATGTAGGGGTGTGTGGCGATAAAAAGGAAGATAATTCACAAGTGACTTATGAAAATGTGAACTCCGTGAGATGAACCCTGGCAGGAACAAAACTTGACTAGCCCAAACTGAGAACTTTTAAATTTAGATGGTGTCCTTCTCGGAGAATCTCCGAGGATGCCGTCCAAATGTACTCACAACACGTTACAAAGAGAACAGCCTGAAGCTCTCAGATTCCCACTTTATGTTGGAAACCAAAAACGCGCAGATATTTTCCGCTTTAGCCAAGGTTCTATGGTTAAGGCAAGGAGGCACAGAACCAGTCACAGGACACAGCTTTCATCCAGAAAGGGATGCGTCTGTCTCAAGAAGGAGGTCACAGTAGCCAGGGTTCAGTCACACACAGCTCGACCACCACTTCCTAAGTCATTCATCAAGCTCAGGCTGCGTGGGTTCCGTGCGTCCCCTTCACCTCCAGTTCCTAGCATTTCCTGGACAGAGCGGCAGTCCTAGACAAGCTTGTAAAGAGCATAATGGTATTTTTCTTAGGCACGGGTTCGTAGCCTGAGAGCCTTCACAGTCCATGAACTCTCTGAAATCTTATATGACTGTGTCTGTAGAAACTTTTTCCTGATGCGAAGGCCCATAGCTTTCACTTAGACTCTGAAAGGATCCGTGGCACAAAAGCCAAACAAAAACCCTGTTATACACTACCACCATGGAGGACTCGTGATACATTCCTCACCATAGCATTTCAGAAATCACCCCCGAGTGGTTTTGGGGGAGGCGGATAGAACAGCAATTCAACACTCTATGCCACGAGACCTTTAGGTGGGCTGGTGGGGAGAGACACAGGCAGTAAACCCCAGATCTGGCAGCAACACAGACAAAAATATCAGGACATTTCAAATAGGGGAAGGAACAGAACGAGGGGCCTTATAAATGCGACCTGCCCGAGCCAGTTTGCTGATCTTGGCTAGCACTCTAGTTTACAGATACAGAGACCCAGAAAGGTTAAGTGAATTAGCCATGAATACACCAGTTAAGGGCAGACAGAAGCCTAATGGGTGGACTCTCCACTTTTGCTCCAATCCCTTTTCTACTCTGCCCAAAGCAGCCTGCCATGCTTGGCTGAGACATACATTCACACTGGAGATTTGGGCCTCCCAGTGTCATTAGGTCGCCTGCTTTTCACTTCCTCGCCACTTGTGTTATGTGGCCAGTGCATGAAGAGGAAGTTAAGTCGCTCTTCAAGCCTCTAACACACCGGCCTCTCGGGGATGTAACTAATTTATACAAGTTTGACCCCGAGGTTTATGGCTCCCATCAGCTGCTTACTCGGGCGGGGAGTTAAAGCACACTCATCAAGCCATAACTTTACCCAGGACACAAAACGCTCTTGTTTGTTAATCCTTCTCTTCTCAAAGGAAAAAGAATTATAATCTGGCCAAAGTCACCAATTCATTCCTAACGAATCTTCAAAGCGTTTGCAAAGTCATCCTGCCTGCAAATAATCACATGGAATTACCCAGGTGAAGAAGGGCATGCTGGGAGTGACACAAAATTCTACAGTACGGGAGCCCCCAATCACACTTAACGGCGAGTAAAGGGGTGCTCCACCCATGCTCACCCACCACGACCCATTACTACACACACAGTGTGTCTCAGGTTCACCCTCTTTTCTGTTGCACCTTTTTGCTCCTGCTCTCATCGCTGTGCATCCTCTGTGTGGTAGGTGGTGCAAAGGTGGGCCAGGTGACAGGGGCAGGCCAAGGGCAAGCTCAATTTTGCTGAAGACACTATACCCACAGATGATGAGAGAATCTCTCATTTTTGGTTGATCAAGGATTTTTCATTTTGCAGATAAGGAAAATGAGGACTAGAGAAGAATTCACAAAGATAGGGAGTGGATGGCAGAAGTGGGACTGCCATTTGGGTTACCAGGTTCCTTTCAAGTTCGATCTCCCTTGCACCAGACCCCTCCCACCCAGCTCTGTCATGTTTCTGAGTTTAGTGCTCTGGTTTTACTGATAGCGTTTCACTGAAATGTGAGCTCCTTTCTTCCTATTTGTTGTGGTCTCTTCCAGACTCCTGCTAACTTTGTTTCTATTGTAATTTTAATTATTTTTCCTCTAGAAAATGTTCTTCAAACTCAACTTCATGTGATTTTCAAAAACGGTCCCTCGTTTAACAGGTTTTGGATTATGTACTGTTTGTCTTAGAGAAAACACATTTTGTTGGCTAGAAAAAAAAAGCA